ACTTGAAAAGCTCTTTGTGGAGACTATTTTAACACTTGCTGTATTGTACTATGATTATTTATTACCCATCTCTACTCCCAAAGACACAGATAAAGTTGTGCTTGTACTAAAATGCCTTCTAGTGCCTGGTACTTCATTGTTTTTGGAATTAATTTGATGAGTGAATGAAGAAATGATTGCATCAGTGTGGTTATAATAAGGATTCTAATTCATGTCTCATTATTAATAAGGGCCTTGTTGGCTCTCTATTTTTCTATCTATAAAATTGGAAGAAAGGTTAAAGATTGTTCCTCTCATTGTAGTCTGAAGATACCCCTGTAGCTATTTCATATACAGCAAGAGTACTAGCAGTGAATTCTCTGATTCTTTATCATAAATTTCTGAATTTCGGGCTGGGGATGTGGCTCAAGCGGTAGCGTGCTCGCCTGGCATGCGTGCGGCCTGGGTTCAATCCTCAGCACCACATACAAACAAAGATGTTCTGTCCGCCGAAAACTAAAAAATAAATATTAAAAAAATTCTCTCTCTCTCTCTCTCTCTCTCTCTTTAAAAAATAAAAAATAAACAAATTTCTGAATTTCTTTTTCACTTTTGAAGGACAGTTTTTGTGGTTATAGAATTTTTTATTCTTTTCCTTCAATACTTCCAGTGTATCATCTGAAAAGCTAGCTTCTATTGAGGTTCCCTTGTATGTAATAAATTCTTGTTCTGTCTCTAGATCCTCTTTGTCTTTGATTTCCGACAATTGGACTGCAGTGTATCCCAGCATGGAACTCATCTGTCCTCTTAAGGTGAAGGTGGAGTGGGGCATGAGAATGAGGATAACTTGCAAGTTTATCCTACTTGCAGTTTGTTGAGGTTCTTGGATATGTAGACTAATATCTTTCATTGAAATAAGAATCTTTGGACCTCTATAATTTTTTTTTCTTTTCCCTTGTAATTATTTGGATATTAGATGTCCCACCAAAAGTTCATATGTTGAAGGCTTGGTCTCCAATGCAGCAGTGTTCAGAGGTGGGACTTGTTTTGCGGTGGGGGGAGCGATTGAATCATAAGAGCATTAACCTCATGAATAGATTAACTCATGAATGGATTCATAGCTTAATGGACTATTGGGAGGCTGTGGGAATTTAGGGGGTAGAAACGTTTTGGAGAATTGTTATTGGGGATGTGTTCTTGAAGAAGATATTTTGTCCCTGGTGCCCTCCTCTCTATGCTAGCTGGCCACCACAAGATAAGCAGCCTCCTCTGCCACATGCTCCGGCTACCTTGATGTTCTGTCTCATGACAGACCCCAGAATGATGAAATCAAGTGACTGTGACTGAAACCTTTGAAACTTGTAAGCCAAAATGAACCTTTCCTCCTTTAAAGTTGTTTATCTCGAGTATTTTATCACAGCAGCTGAATGATGATTAACACACCTTTTATCTCCCTCTTCTCCTTCTGGGATTTTCCATGACTTGTATGCGGTGGACGATGATGGTACCTCACAAGTCTCTGAGGCTTTGTTCCTTTTCCTTTCTATTCTTCAGACCAGATAATCTCTATCACCATATCTTCTAGTTCATTAATCCTTTCTTCTGCCAGCTCAAATGTGCTGCTGAGTCCCTTTAGTGGATTTTTTATTTCACATAATGTACTTTTCAACTTCAGAATTTCTATTTTTAATATTTTCTATCTCTCTACTGATATTCTCTACTGATATTCTTACATCACTGACATACTTTTTAAAATTAAAAAAAAAATTTGAGTTTAGGTGAACATAATGCCTCTATTTTATTTGTTGATTTTTATGTGGTGCTGAGTATCAAACTCAGTGCCTCACACATGTTAGGCAAGCGCTCTACCACTGAGCCCCAACTCAGCCCCAGTTTTTAAAATTCTTTACACATGGGCTGGGGATGTGGCTCAAATAGCCTGGCATGCGCAGGGTGCTGGGTTTGATCCTCAGCATCACATAAAAATAGAATGAGGATGTTGTGTCCACCGAAAACTGAAAAATAAAATAATAAAAATAAATAATAATAATATTGAAATATTGAAAAAAATTCTCTCTCTCTCTCTCTCTCTCTCTCTCTCTCTCTCTCTCAAAAAAAAAAAAATTCTTTACACATGATTTCCTTTCATTTGTTAATCTTGGGCATTGAACCCAGGAACTTTTACATGCTAAGCACAAACCCTACTTCTGAGCTACCAGCCTCCTTTCGAACATATTTACAGTAGCTGAATTAAAGTCATTGTCTAGAAAATTCATCATGTTAGTTCTCTCAGAGACAGTTTCTAGTGACTAATTGTTTTTTTTTTTTTTTTTAATTTTTAATATTTATCTTTTAATTCTCGCGGACACAACATCTTTGTTGGTATGTGGTGCTGAGGATCGAACCCGGGCCGCACGCATGCCAGGCGAGCGCGCTACCGCTTGAGCCACATCCCCAGCCCTCTAGTGACTAATTGTGTGTGTAACTTTTCTGTTTCTTTATAGGTTTCATGCTTTAAAAAAAAAAAAAACTGTCATTTTTTTTTAAATTTATTTTTTAGTTTTCGGCGGATACAACTTCTTTGTTGGCATGTGGTGCTGAGGATCAAACCCTGGGCCACACGCATGCCAGGCGAGCGCGCTACCGCTTGAGCCAGATCCCCAGACCTGTCCTTATTTTTATTTTTATTTATTTATTTATTTATTTTTTAAATAATCTCCACGCTCTTCTGCCTTTGGCAATGCCTGTCCTTATTTTTTTTTAAAATTTTTTAGTTGTATATGGACTCAATGCCTTTATTTGTTTTTATGTGGTGCTAGGATCGAACCCAGTGCCTCACACTTGGGAGGCAAGTGCTCTACCACTGAGCTACAACTCCAGCCCCACACGGTCCTTTTTTAATAATATAATTTAGCAGCCCCGAAAAATAAAAAATTCTCCCCTCCGAGGTTTGTTGTTGTTGTTGCTGCTGTTTGTTTAGTGACATTCTTGGGCTAATTCGGTAAAGTCTCTATTTCCTGTAACATGCAGCCAATTGAAGTCTTTCTTCAGTTAGTTCAGTGATTCACTTTAATGCTTGGACCAAGAATTCCTTAACGGCCTTGACCTAGCAAACTTCCACTGATTGTCAGGAGCTCTGGCTGTGGGTTGAGGTGAACCCTCACTCCCTTGGCGGTTTCCAACTCTGTCTTGATCTCCACTTCCTGCCTATCCAAAGCCTCAAGATCAGCCAAAGACTGGGAACCTCCTAGGTCTTTCTGGAGAATATGCATAGCTTTTCAGAGCCCTAGAAATCCATTAGAGCTTCTCAAAGTTCTCCTTAGACATCTCATTTCCCTAATCTTCCTTTTAAATTTATGGCAACTCTGTTTGCCTCCACAGGCATCACTGTATTAGGCAGCGGTGACGTTAAGCAATTAAAACTTATTAAAACTGACAAATGTCCCGGACATAAGAATTTTCCCATGCGGAGAGCCCCAAAGGGGATTAGTAATGTCCTGGGGGTGGGGGCTTTTCCATGGAGAGAGCTCCCTGTTGGGTTTAATGATGACATACTGTAAATGACGTTTTACCAAGGAACTGTAAACAGGTCAGATGATGACAATATTGTTTTTTTTTTTTTTCCTTTT